AAAGAGCAGCTGGTGGATTCGAACTGCTGACCTTCTGGTTAGCAGCCTAGCTCTTTGCCACTGCGCCAGCAGGGCTCTGTCAGGTATGATACTGATCATACAAGGAAAAAAAAAGGTAATAGAGGTGGGGGGGGGGACTGACTGTGTAAGGCATTAGGGTGATTGGTGTTTCCTAAAAGAGACGAGAAGCCATTGAAGGATTTTAGCAGAGTGACGTGATCTGACATGGGTGTTAAAAAGACCATCCAGCTTCTGTTTTGTGAAAAGACTGTAGGGAACAAGGGCTGAAGCAGGGACACCTGTTAGGAGGCTGTCGCCATAAACCAGGTTTAGATCAAGAACGGTAGTGATGAGTTGGTGGGGGGTGATCAGATTCCGGATATATTATAAAGCAGAGTTGACAGGGTTGGCTGATGGACGAGACATCAAGGTGAGAAGAGAGGAGTCAAGAATGACTTCCAAGTTTTCTGGCTAGAGCAACTGGAAGAATAAAGTTGCAATTAACTGAAACGGGGAAGACTGTGGAGTGAGCAGGTTAAGGAAGACCAGCAGCTTCGTTTTCGTCTCAGGAAAGGCAAGACACTGCCTAGGTATCCTGGGGGAGAGTTAATGGGCATTGGGATATATTAGATCCTCGGGTGTGGTTACTAAAAGAATCAGGTTAGATGTGACAGAGTTGAAGATGTTTGATTCCTAGTTAACTAAAGGGGCAGGGCTGGTTCCGATTACCTTATTGCCCAGTTCTTGGCCCTGGCTCAGAAACCCTGGAGCACAGCAGGCTGAGCGGCTCTCAGGTTGGGTGTGTTGGGTGTGTTGGGTGTTTGAGGCAAGATTGCCAGGCTTAGCAATTAAAAACATAAAACGCCCTTTGGATAATTTTTTAGTGTCAGTATGTCCCGTGCAACATTCGTATAAGTATGTACTTAGTATAAGTGTGTCCCAAATATTGCATGGGACATACCGATGCTAAAACATTTTTCACTATTTATCTGAAATTCAAATTTAATTGGGGGTCCTGTACTTTAGCAGGCAAATCTAGTCTTCTAAGTTCCTTCTGTGCCAGTGTTGGCTGTGGCCAGGTCTGGGAGCAGTGGTGGTTGCTCTTGTTGACCTTCTGGAAGGTCAGAAACTCCCAGAGAGCTGGTGCAGGCTTAGGAAGCCTGTGCCCTGCCCATGTTCCTAACCGAGGCCTCTGCCCAAACCTACAGGGCAAGCTGGCATGATAAGAGTTCCTGCAAGGTGTCCAGCACTGTGCTAGTTACTTTACACACAGAAGCTCCCTACAGGAGGAGGGTAGGTTTTACTGGCATCACTTACAGGCGGAGACAAGTTTGTCCAAGGTCATGCACTAGTAAGAGGCAGAACTGTTTGAGGGGGAAGAGAATGGACTTCCAGATCAGACAGAGCTGATGTGCTCATTTCTGCCACTTAATAGTTGTGTTACCTTAGGCAAGCTACTTAATTTATCTGCGCTTGACTTCCTAAATTTGTAAATTGGGAATCATACTACTATCTCAAAGGGTTATTGTGAGCATTGAGATTATTATTACTATTGTGTAAAAGTGCCTTGTCCAATGCCCAATATTTGGTAGGAACTCAAATGGAAATGACATTTGGGCAAGAAGGAATATGACGAGTCCATTCTGTCCACGCAGAGCCTCCCAGGCCCTGGGAACCGTGCAAAAGAAATAGAGTTAAGAGTTCTCTCCTGGAGGAGGTGGTGACTTCAGGGATGCAAGGATGCTGAGCAAGGGGAGAAGCGGCAGACCCTGGTGGGCTGCTCTCCTTCACCGGGGCCCCCTTCTCAGATACTTCCCACGAAAGGAAGGCATATGCATTTTTCTCCCGCCAAAGGGAGGCATATGCATTTGTATATAAACATCTGGAAGGTCTATATTTTGCAGACACTGAACATTCTCATCATACTCAGAGCACGTATTAACCCT